CACCACATGCCAGCCAGCCCTGCCCCCTGGTGGGCTGAACTGGCCACACACACACACACACACACACACACACAAATAAATAAAATTTGAAAAAAAAATGATACAGTTAATCCTCTTTTTCTGATTTTCTGAAACAGGGTCTTACTGTGCAGTTCAGGCTGGACTTGAATTCACTAAGTGGTTCAGGCTGGCCTCGAACTTGTAGCAATCCTCCTGTCTCTGCCTCTTGAGTACTGGGATTATAGATGTATACCACTTGGCAAGACATTCCTCTTCTTAAAAAAAATAAAAAGACAGTCCTCTTCTTACAGTAGGGCAGTACCCCAATAAACTTATCATGAGATAAAATTATCATAAGTTGAAAATGCATTTAATACTCAAACCATTCTAAGGTCAGAAAAATCACAAGTTAAACTATCGTAAGTTCATGTATTCCTTGGTTATCAATGAAATTATACTTTAAGAAATTGGTCATAAAGCTGAAAATACCATAAATTGAAATCACCAAGTCCAGACCATCTGAACTCCATCTTGTAGCTTCAGATTATATTCTCATGCCTATAAGGCCAGCGCTCTGGGAGGCTGAGGCAGGAGGATCACAGGTTGGAGCATGGCCCGGACAACTTAACAAGATCCTGTCTCAAAATAAATTAAAAAAAAAAAAGAGCTGGAGATAGAATTCAATGTAAAGAAATGCCCTGGTTTGATCTCCAGCACCATGATAAAAAGAAAAAAAGCTGATTAGATAGGGCAGTGGCTTTTATTGAAAATCCTGCATAGTCAAAGGAAATAAAGGAAAAGGAGTTCTGTCCCTGAAGAGTGTAAGATGAACTATAAGAATCCATTCTGGCCAGTTTCCAGCTAGGCCATCCTGGGTAACACAGTGACACCCCCATCTAAAAAAAGAACAAGAAACCCAGTTCTTTTAGTTAGGGGACAAGAAGAGATTACTCACAGGGGTATTTAGATCTCCTCGTTGGCTGTGTACGTGTGAACTTCTTGCGGCCTGGAGAGTCCTAGAAGGATGAACCTCCATATTTGGGGGAAAACATCCACAATCTCAGCAGCCCCTCTACTGAGTGCAAATCAAGGGGTGAGCTATTTTCCTGTGCCCCAGTATCATTCACTATGTATCAAGTTCCAGGATGACTGGAAAGTGAGGTTTCTTAGAATTTAAAAATAGACCAGAGAGAAAGTAGTAGTTAAGAGACCGGATTTTGGAGTCAGATGGAACAGATCTAGATTTTTGTCCTGACACATTAAGTCAAGGGATAGTACCTCCCTGACCCTCAGCTACACATCTGTAAAGGGAGTATGCACTGGACTCCCACAGGCTCATTGTCGTGAGGGTTACAGTCAAAGCTGCTCTCTGACCGTATATCGTCACTGGTGCAAAAAGGGTAACGTCTTTTTCTCTTGCCATGTTTCCATTGTTGGAGCTCTGCGGAGAGCCACTATAAAGAAGAGCAAGACGGATTTGCTGAACCCAGAAGAGGCTGAGGACCAGCTGGCTGACATCGCCTCTGTGGGTAAGTCCCTTCCCCAGCCCTGACCACCCAGGCTATGAGGGGAGCCGGGCTGCCTGGACTTGCGTCTCCCCTGTGCCTTTCACCTTATGTATCCCGGGGCAGGGTACATGATGATGGAAATAATGACCATGCCAGTCTTCTAATACCATTGTAAAGACCCAGCGAGCACTTAGAGTAGGCCCTGGTGTCGACTGATGTATGTAATGGTTGAGAATTCCTTGTCTGTACTGCTTGCACCCAGAAGTGTTTCAAATTTGAAATTTTTCCAAGTTTTGGCACACCTCCATGTGTGTAATGAGCGATTATCTTTTCTCATTAAGACAAAGGGAATGGGACCAAAGTCTAAACACAAAATTCCTTTTTGTTTCATATAAACCTAGTTGTATTTAGAAAGTATTTTTATAATATTGTACATGAGACAGCAAAGCATTTCACATGTGGAGTCTGCCACTTGCAGCATATGGTCAGTGCTCAAAACATTTTAGAGGGGCCGGCGAGATAGCTCAGCAGTGTAAAGTGCCCAGTTAGCCAAGCTTAGGCAAGCCTAGGGACCGCAGTTTGATCCCCAGCACCACATGCTGCACCAGCCCCGCCCCCAGGGTGGGCTAAGCTGGACACACACAAAAAGAAAAAAAAAAGCATTTTAGATATTAGAGCATTTTAGATTTCAGATCTTAGGGACCAGGGATATAGCTCAGTGACACAGCACCTGCCTGGCAAGCACAAGGTCTTGAATTCTATTCCTGGTGAAGGAAAAAAAAAAAAAAAAAAATTCAGGACCAGCCAAATAGTTCAGCGGATTAAAGCACCTGCAAGCAGGCCCAGGGGCCGAGGCTTCAATCCCCAGGCCTGCCATGCCAGCCCTGCCCCCAGGGTGCGCTGAGACGGCAATTGAGACTGGGCGTGATGGCACGCGCCTGTAATCCCAGCTCTTGGGAGGCTGTAGACAGGTGGATCACTATGAGTCCGATCTAGTAGTGAGACCCTGAACACCCTGTAGACCCTTCCCTAAAATACTAAATAAATAAATAAATTCAAATCTTCAGCTTAGGGGTGTCCATCCTCCATCCTCCATCCTCCTTCAGGAATCTTGGTGCAAGACCTGCTCCGGCTAAGTGCCTGCCTGTGAACAAGACAGAACCCTACCAGGGTTCACAGCACAGCCCTGGCAGTGGATACTAAGGAGAATTATGCCAATAAACATACAAGGCTAACGGAGCTGCAGAGAAGCCACCTAGACTTGGCCAGCTCTGGAAGGGTGGGGCATGGTCAGGGCGAGTTGCCTGGAGGAGGTGATTTTTTTAGCTGAGAAGAGAAGCCTGGGTAGGAGTTGATCGTGACGAGGACCACAGAGAACATTGCGGAAGACAGTGCCGAGACTGATGCCACTGGAGTGAACAGAGGCTGGAGTTTGAAGGGCATGGGGACACTTAATCTTTTCCTCCTCAGGCTGTAGATTGATCAGCTTCCTATTGCTGTGACCAAATCCCTGAGAGGAACATCTCAGTAGAGGAGAGGTTTCTTTTGGCTCAGGGTTTTAGAGGTTTCCGTCCATGTCAACTGGTTCCACTGCTGTGAACTTATGGTGAGGTGAGAGTGTCATGGTGGAAGGGCACAGTGGAGCCCAGTGCACACCTCATGGTGGGCAGAAAGCAGAGGAAAGGAACCAAAAAGGAAGAGCCCAGTAGCCACACACGCTGTCCAGAGTCATCCCTCAGGGGCCCACCTCCTCCAGCTGAGCCCGCCTCTTCCCAGGCTGTTCAGCTGTGAACTCGAGCAGTGGGTGGATCCATTAATGAGGTCACCACCTTCACTGACCCAGTCACCTCTCCCACCACACTGTGGCCACAGCTGCACTGCGGCCTCCAAGCCCTTGATGCGCAGGTCCCTTGAGGGCCCTTCCTCTTGAAGCCATTTGTGGACAGAGGTGGCATTGCTTCTGACCTGCTACCTGAGAGCATATTGGGATTGCTTTTGGGTTTTGAAATGAGTTGTTGTTTTTTTTAATTTCAATTGTAAAAGAATGAATGGAAGAGGATCCGGGAGGAGGAAATAAGACTGGAATAAGACTCACGGAGGAAGAGGTTTCTGCTGTCTGGGAGACATGCAGCTGTAGTGTAGAGGGAGAAAAAAATGGACAAGAGGACAGAAGGGGGAAAGGAGAGGAGAAAGCAAAGGAAGGCAGGAAGCAGAGGAGGGGAGGGAGACAGGAGGAAGAGGCGGAGGAAAAGAAGAGAGATGGGGAGAGTCGGGAGAGCGCGCGTGTTTCTGATGCGCACAGCACACTGCACTGTGCTCGCTCGGCTCTTTTCTTCAGCCCTGGTTTACTCCATTGCTGAGTTCTGACCTGGTTTCTGCTGTGAGGCCACCACCACACAGCCTGCCTCACAGGGCTCACGTCGCATGGCACTGTCACAGTGCCAGCCTTGGCCCCACCGGCCTTGTCCTTAGGAGGAGCACTTCTGAATGCAGCGAGGGGACCCCCACCCTGTCTTTGGGGCACATTTCCTCAGGAGTGAGTTCAGGAGCAGAGCAGTTCACAGCTTTTCAACACACCGTTCACGCAGCCCTTCTGTGTTTCAGAAACTGTGACACACATTTACAAACCTGCCGAACACTCCTGCATTCGCGGGAGGCTACCACAGCCTTCGCCATGAAATACATCCCAGTCTTTCCGTCTTATTTATTTAAAGATTGGTCTCACTAAGTAAGTCACTCAGTTGCCCAGGCGGGGTTCAGAATTGCAGCCCTCTTGCCCCAGCCTCCAAGGGAGCTGGGCTTATGGGTATGGGTTATCCTGCCCATCTATTCATACATATTTTTTCATACTGCATTTATGGAATTTCAGCACACAGGGAAGAGAACTGTACTACACTGATGTGAGAATATAAATTAGTGCAACCACTGTGGAAATTAGCATGGAGATCTTAAGAAAACTAAAGATAGAAGCACCACTCCATCTAGTAATACCAGTCTTCGGTATGTTTCTGAAAGAATTAAAGACAACATACTACAGGAATACCTGCATCAGCAGATTTATTGCAACACAATTCACGGTTGCTAAGCCTAGCAACTGGAGCCAGCCTCGGTGCCCCTCACAGATAAGTGATTCTAAAAATTAAATAGATAAATAGACAGATAGATGCCGTGGAATATTATTCAGCCATAAAGAAAAATAAAATGTCATCTGCAAGAAAATGGATATAAATGGAGTCCTCCATGTTAACTGAAATAAGTCAGATCTAAGAGGTCAACCATTGAATTTTTTTCTCATATGAGGAAAGGGGGGGGATTTTTGAAAGAAAGATGATGTAAGAGGGAGAGGACAGGAGGAGCAATAGAGTGATCAAAAATGAACCAAGTATGATGCATACAAGTACCAGTTACCCAAAGCAAATGTGACTGTAGTGTGCTGCAGATGTACACTAATGAAGAAGAGAGATGTCATGAAAGGAGAAGAGGAAGGGGTGAGGGAGGCACAGGAGCAATGGAGGTGGCCGTGGCCAGAGTGTCTTATGTTCATGCACGAATATGCCGAACTGAAACCCACCATTCTACATAACTAATATGCACACAACAGAAGAAAGCAACGGAGGGGGGGAGTGTTAGGACATTGGTCCAGGTGATGCTTTTTTGTATAGCACCCCAACAACATAAGCAAGAAAAGCAAAAGTGGACAAATGGAATCACCACACTTCGTTCTGGGGGCCTTCCAGGCATGCATAGGGCTCCTGCTTCATCTTACACACAAACACATACCCGAGGCATCAGAAGAAGTCAGAGTCACTGCTAAGCACCCGCCTATATTCCCAACACTCCTGTACTCCTGTACTCTCAGCACTCTGGGAGTCTGAGGCAGAAGAATCTCAAATTTCAGCCCAACCTACCAAGTTTCTGTCTCAAAATAAAAAATAAAAAGGGGTTGCAAATGTAGCTCAGTTTCAGTCCCCAGTATTACCAAAAAAAGAAAGTGGGGGGGGGGGTCACAGTGACAGGCGTGGAAAATTGAATCTGGCAGTGGGAGCCATTAGCCTCTCAACAGTTACATCCAATTCTGTGATTTTGCAAGGATATTGCTGTCTCGTAAGCTCCCTCTCTCCAGAGCTGAACCCTGAGTCATGATAGTTCCCTCAGGCCAGAGCCTTCTGGGAGAACCATGGATCCCTGGCCAGAGTCCATGCCCGAGCACATGCTGGTGAATTTCCTCCACAGGAACAGCCTGAGTCTAACATTCTTTATCCTTTCCCTGGCAGGGTCTCCCTTTGCCCGAGCCAGCATTAAAAGTGCCAAGCTGGAGAACTCAACTTTTTTTCACAAAAAGGAGAGGAGGATGCGTTTCTACATCCGTCGCATGGTCAAAACTCAGGCCTTCTACTGGACTGTGCTCAGTCTGGTAGCCCTCAACACGCTGTGCGTTGCTATTGTCCACTACAACCAGCCCGACTGGCTATCTGACTTCCTCTGTGAGTACCACCCTGCACCCCCACCGTGGCTGGATCCCTGATCCCTTCCTCACACCCTTTTTTCTACTTCTCTTCCTCCAGTGGCTTATGTTCTTCCTTTGATCCCTGCTGAATCTGTCCTTTCATTTGACCCTTTCTACAAGCTTTATTGGGGTCAATGTTGATGCTCCAACAGTGGAATCTGTATTAGTCAGATTTATATCACTGTGACAAAATACCCAAAGCAGTCTACCTTGCAAAGAGAAAGGGTCTATTTGGCTCACAGTTTTGGAAATTCAAGGGCATGGTACCTGTATCAGTTCAGTTGTGAGGAAGACTTCATGGTCAATGGCAAATGGCAATAGCAGGTATGCATGTTGGAACTGGTCACACCTCAAGCCAGGAAGCAGAGAGAAACAGACTGGGACACCACAGTCTCCTTGGAAGATGTGTACTCCAGTTGATCTAGGGCCTTCCCACTAGGCCCCACCTCTTAAAGACCTATACCAAGTCTCAGTGCCACCTCCCAAGGGACTAAACCTTCAATCCATGAACATTTAGGGGGACCCAAACCATATCCAACCCATTGCACTGCCTGTCTTCCTCTGACCTGAGAGCTGAAAGAGAAATTCAGGCTACTCTAATAAGACAAAAGGTATGAATCTCTGACAGCATTGGAAAAGAGACAGAAAAAGACACAGAGCCTAGACAGCTAAATGGAAAAACACATTTAATTTCTAGTCAGGTATGGCAGAGCACACCTGCTAGCCCAGCACTCAGGCGCTGAGGCAGGGCGATTGCCACCTGTTTGCGTTTGAGGCCATCCTGGGCTACACAGTGAGATCCTGTCTCAAACAAACAAACTACATTTAATTTCTACATGTACTCCTGGGAATGCTAAAAAAATCCATGGCCAAAAAATGGAGGTACCTTATAAACAGGAAGCGGTTCTGTAGGTTGTATTCCTTTTCTCTGCTCATTTCTGGCCTCCTGTTTCTCTCCTATTCTCTCCTTTTGTTTCTTTCCTGCTTTTTCGTCTTTCCTTTTTGGTTTCCCTACAGCTGAGATTCATTCCTAGGAGATCCTCTCGAGCAAATAGGAGCACATCTTGATCTCTTATTGGGCACCAGAACTCTTAAGACTGCCCTCTGTCTGGGTTTATTACCAGATTCCAGAGATTAGCCTGAGAAGTGTCAAGCTTGAGAACCGGGTGAAGGGCTGGCCAGATAGCTCAGAGGACTAAAGCGCCTGCTTAGGCAGAGTGCAGCGGCCGGGGTTCTATCCCCAGCGTGCTGTGCCGGCCCCACCCCTGGGGGTGCGCTGAGTTGGCAAATGAGACTAGGCGTGGTGGTGCGCTTGTAATCCCAGCGCTTGGGCGGCTGAAAACAGGAGGATCACTATGAGTCAGATCTGTGTAGTGAGACCCTGTAGACCCTGTACAGGGGGGACAGAGACCGTGTAGACCCTGTACGGGGGGGGGGGGGGGGGGGGGGGGGGGGGGGGGGGGGGGGGGGGGAGAGAGAGAGAGAGAGAGAGAGAGAATGAGGTGAGGACTTGAAGCAATGAATGGGAGACTGCTGACCAACTGTGAGAAAAAAAGCACTCTGGAGGGTGAACAAGAGGCATGACAGGGCTGGGAAGTGCAGTGGTCAGTCGAGCCCTCCCCAAGGGCTTCTTTTCCCCTACCGGGTGCCTCTGCCCACATCTGCTGGCTGTCTGACTTGCTTCCTGCCCTCCCTACCTTGCTCAGAATTGACCTAGGACAGCTGCGAGAGACAGTCAAGTCTCTGACCTAGAAAGGCCCCAGAGCCAACCCCAGATCTCGGTCTCCTCTGCACCCTCCTTGCCCCCACCCTGCTGGCTGACCCCCAGAACGACCCTCAGGGGCCCGGCCTTCGGAGCATCCTGACCTAGATCCAACCTTAGTAATTGCACCAGGTCCCTCTGGAGCCTTACAAATGAGGTCTCTTCATTGCTTCTTGTAACGTCCTCTGAGAGTCTATTTTTAATCACCTCTAATCTCCCCACTAATCACCTTGCAGCATGTCCTGGTTTAGGGACAGGGGGACTGAGACTTCTCACCTGGGGATTTTGTGTCTGTAAAGGTCCACAATTATCCCCATTTCCCAGTAGGAAAACAAAGACACAGAGAGGTTAAGTAACTTATCTAGGGTCACACAGCTAGTAGGTGATGAAGCCAGGACTTGAACCTAGGCATTTGGGTTCGAGCCTACACTGTCTGATGAGAGATCCCTACTCTGCTTCACCAGGTGACCTGAATTCTCAGTGTCTACCCTGCACCTAATTCACCATATGACCTTGGGCAAGTCATCACCATCATTCACTATTCAAAGTTGTCCATTTATTTTAGGCGCCTGTGAGGAATAAAACAACACTGCCATCTAAAACTAGGACATGCTGATTTTAAGACGCATCGATTTAAGTGATGTCAAAATGTGAACAAAACTGTGTCTTGAGCTAGGCATGGTAGAGCACACCCACGACCCCGGGCTGAGGCACTAGGAGCGCTGTAATTTTGAGGACACCCTGGGCTATAATATAGTGAGTTCAAGGTCAGCCTAAGCTATGGAGAGAAACCCTGTTTCAAATAACAGCAAAGTGTATCTTGAATTCAGCACAGCATAGTGAATTCTCTGCAAGTTCGATTGAATGGCCCTGAAAGTTTCCCCAGACCTGTAGATGGCCAGGGATGATGAGTCAGCCTCTCCATCTCTGTCTCCATCTGTCTCCATCTGTCTCCATCTCTCTGTCTGTCTGTCTGTCTGTCTGTCTGTCTGTCTTCCTCTCTCTCATTTCCTGTATCACTGAGCTGCTATGTTTTCATGATAAGCATCTCATAAACAGTTCAAGCTGGGTATGGGGGCACATGCCCATAATCCCAGCCCTCAGGAGGCTGAGGCAGGAGAATCACCACAAATTCAAGGTCAGCCTGGACTACATAGTGAGTTCAGAGCCACCCTAATTTAATAACTATATAGAGAGCCACTGTCTCAAAAAGAAAGAAAGGAAGAATGAAAAGAAGGAACGAAAGAGAGAAAAAGAGAGAGAGAACTGTCCAATCCTTCCAGAGTTGCTTTGGGTCTTGGAAGCCACCAGAGGTTGCAGACACAGTTCTTTTGCTGCTATTCTGATTCTGGGGAGGCTACAGTTAGCCCTCAGATGCTAGGAGCTCCTTAGGGCTCATAAACAAGAAGACAATGTGAGAGATCTTGGCGTCTGTCCAGACGGGCTGGGCAGCAAGCTCAGTTGTAGAGCCCACACCTAGCATTCACAAGGCCCTGGATGCCTTTGCCAGTCCCAAAAAAGGGGAAGAAAAAAAAAAAAAAAAAAAAAGGCAAGATCTAGCTGTGCGTGGTGTTGCACACCTGTAATCCCAGCACGCAGGAGCCTGAGGCTGGAGGATCACCAGGAGTTCAAAGCCAGCAGGGGCAACATAGTGATCCAGGCTAGCCTGAACTACATAGCAAGACCTTGTTTTCTGGCAGTCCTACAAACTGGGAGTCAAAGACCAAGCTGCTGGTGGCCCTGGCTGTGCAGGTGGAAAGTCTGCTGTCTGTTTCTAGGCTGGCACCTTGAATTCTTGTTCTCTGGAGGGGACAGCACTTTGTCCCCACATGGCAGAAAGCTGAAGAGCAAAGGGCCACCACGCCATGCAGGAAGGCTCTACCTGCCCCAGATGTCATCGCCTCCTAAACCCTCACCTTTCAATATCATTCCACTGGATGTAGGACAGGACTCAGACATTCAGCTCCTAGCAGCCAGCAAGCAGGATCAGCGTCGCAGCCGTCGCTGTGAAAATCCTGGAAGCCCTTGGGGTTCTCTGTCTTTTCTTTAGAGACCTTGGTACCCCTCCACCTTGTCCAATAGGTCAAAACCAGGTCCTCCTGCCTGTTAGGCGAGCGCTCGGCCACCCCGCTGCACCCAGGCCCCATGCGCTTTCTAATTCCTGTCCTCCCTACCAGCTCCACCACACGCTTAGAAAGCTCTTTCCGGAAAGGACTCTATATGCGCCATGTCTGTGCTAGAACAAATGAAAATCCACATTTCTGCCTTTCCTTGGGGCATTTGCATTTTTGTGCTTTCTCATTAAAAAAAATAAAAGTCCTTAGCTTGCTCTACCTTTTTTTTTTTTTTTTTTTTTTTTTGCGGTGCCACCAGGAATTGAACTCAGGACCCTGTGCTTGCCAGGCAAGCACTTATTCTACTGAGCTATCTCCCCGGCCCCTTGCTCTACCTTTTCCATGACTAACAAGGCAGGATTTCCAGAGGGCATCAGGCCAGTTGTGCCCTGCACAGGTTGTCCTTGGGGCCCCATTGGAGAGCCCAACATGGGACTGAAGAGGGCACCCACCATTACAACATCTGTTTCTTCCTACCCTCTTGGAGCTTTGTACAAGTAGACAGAGCGCCATTCTTAGATAATGACTCAGCAGCATTCTTGAAGCCTTGTATGACCTGCTGTTATCCTGTTGACTGCCCAGTTAGCTAGCTTTCGGAGGGGTGTTGTGGTGCTGGGGATGAAACCTAAGGCTTCGCACATGCTGGGCAAGTGCGCGACCACCGAGCTGCACCCCAGACAGCTCGTTAAATACGCTGAGCACCCAGGAACTGGCCCATCAACACAAAAGCTATCACAACTGTTATGACTGTTGGACATTATAGGATTAAATTGCTAAATATAAGTACCAAAAATCTTTGGACTGGCATCAAGAGTAAAAAGATCTTCTACAGAGTCCTCCAAGTACAGCTGCTCCAACTGCAACGGGACACCCAACAGTCACACAACAAAACAAAAAAGGCAGCTGTGATGGGCGCTGTGGAAGCTGGAAAGTGATCCAACATGGGAGGGCAGGATGAGGCCTTCGGTGCCTAAAGCAGTCCAGCTACCTCAGTCTTAAGAAAGACGTCCTGCCTGGACCTCGTGGGCTATTAGTGGCTAGACAGTCTTGTGTCTTATAACTTTGCAAAGGTATAAATAAACACCCCTGCTGTTGTTTGGGGGTCCTTTGCCAACCAGGCATGGTCCACCACCTGATCTAGACACACACACACACACACACACACACACACACACACACACAATCTAGGACTTCAGCCATACCCTACATCTGACCTCTTGAAACCAGAGCAAACAGTACTAGGTAAAGACTTGCCTCAATTCTCCGACCCCTTTAGGATTGGCCTGATGGGTTGCTGATTAAAGGATAGGGGACAGTTGTTACTGTTGTTTAACAAAAGATAAACTGAGGTCTGTGGCAAAAAAAAAGTTTTGCATAAAATTCAGAAAAAGTCTCTAAAGAAGCCAGGCACAGAGAGAGTGCCTGCAATCCCAGCCCTTGGAGACTGAGACAGGAGGATGGCCGTGAGTTTGAAGCCAGGTCTGAACTATACAGTGAGTTCAAAGCCTGCCTGGACCATAAAGCAAGACCTTATCTCAAAAAATTATACACAAAAGAAAAGAGGAAAGAAAAAGGTCCCCAAGACCTTTTCCTCCCTGTCTATCAGGCCGGACTAGGACAGAGTTTTTCTCTTCACGGAAAGAGCAGATTTCACCATCGCTTTTCCTCTCTGTCTCCTTCTCCCTTCCAGACTATGCAGAATTCATTTTCTTAGGACTCTTTATGTCCGAAATGTTTATAAAAATGTACGGGCTTGGGACGCGGCCTTACTTCCACTCTTCCTTCAACTGCTTTGACTGTGGGGTAAGTGTGCAGGGTCGGAGGGGCCCTGGTTCCCGCTCCTGGGCAGGCCTGCAATGCAGGAGAGGGAAGGACTCCGTAGGCTCCGCCCATGCCACAGGGACGGGAAGCGCAGATCTGCAGGCCGCAGAGGGGGGCATCAGCCAAGTATTCGCTAGAGACCTCTCAGAGAGACCCACACCGGTACCCAGGAGACAAGGATGAAAATGTCCCTGTTGTTGGGATGTAATTAGGGTTTCCCTGGATTGGTCAGCTTTCCATGGCTATAACAAAATACTCGAGATCATCAGCACTTTACAAAGAGATAAATGGTGTTAGTAGTCTGGCTGTGGAGCTCCCAGCCAGTGATTGATGTGCGATCCCTGTCCTAGGAGAGGCTCCTGTCTTGGTGGAAGCAGGAAAACTGTTGACTGCAGGGCCAGAAAGCTCCTGGGGAGGGCGGGGCTGGGTCCCAGGATCTCTCAAGGCCACGCCCCCATCAACCTAAAGCCCTCACTGGGCTCCACCTCTTAAAGGTCAACCCTGAGGACCAAACTTTTGAAATGCAAAAGTTTCAAAAACTGTGAGTTTTCAAACTCACAGTCCTTTAAAATGCAAATTATAACAGAGATGTTAGCAAATAAGCAGAAAACGCTCTCCATAGGGCAGCCAGAATCACGTGCTGCAGTTCTGTTAGTCTCAGAAAAGGTGGATGATTCTTGGCGATTTGATTCTGAATCGAGTACTAAGTAATAGAAGGAGAGAAGGAAAGAAAAGAAAAATGAAAGAGAGAGAGTGAAAGGGAGAGAAAGAGGGACTGGGAGTGGTTATGTACACCTGTAAAACAAGCGCTTGGAAGGCTGAGGCGGGAGGATCACTATGAGTTTGAAGTCACCCTGAGCTACATAGCAAGATCCTTCTTTAAAAAAAAAAAAGAAGAAGTGAAAAGGAGAGCGAAGTCCTGATGGCTTCATCTACTGTCGACACGGCCACAGCACCCAAGTGCGCCTTTGCAGTGGAAGGGTTAGCGGCCTGCGTACCCACAGATGGCCCCCCACTCACAGCAGCTCAGCTTACAACTTTTCAGCTTAACTCCTGTGTCCAAGTGATCACCCTTCAGCAGAATTAGCACTTCAGCGTTTGCTCTTCCATCATTTCCTGACCTCCCCCCACTCTCTAGTGCTGCGTAGTGGGGAGCCCCAGCTCCCAGGGAGCACCCCAGTCATGAGCAGACACCCCTCACCTGCAGCAGCGCAGTGCCACTAAACCAGGGTATGCAGTAAATTAGGCATGTCGAGTGCATTTTCAAGATCAGTTTGGCAGCGCACTTTGGGCAGGAAGATCCCAAGTTTAAGCCCAGCCTGGGCAAAATTATGACTTATCAGGACCCTGTCTGAAAATGAAAAATAAAATTAAAAAGGGCTGGGGATATAACTCAGTGACTGAGTGTCCCAGGGTTGGAGCCCCAGTACTGCGAAAAGAAGAAGAAAAAGGGGAGGGGGGGACGAGGTAAAGACCTTAAAATTGTGATGTTTAGTGAAAGAAACCAGACATAAGAGGTCGCAGAGGCCGTAATTCCACATATAAGGGCCTACCAGAGCAGCAGCCCACGGAGACAGAAGTGGGTCAGTGGTTGCCAGGGTCCAGTCAGGAGCAATGGAGGGCCGCAATGAGATGGGGCCCTTTGGGGACAACGAAGATGTTTTGGAATTGGAGACCTGGCCTGCACAACATCATGAATAGACTCGGTGCCACTGAGTTGCCCACTTAAAATTAATAATTTTATGGTATGTAGATTTTGTGGCTTTTTTTTTTTTAATAAAAGGACAGAGAAGGGCTGAGCTATCTCACTGGACTAAGTATCTCCTTAGGCAAGCACAGGGATCAGGGTTCGATCCCAGGCACCACATGAGCACTGGCTGTGACCCCGGGCATCCTGAGCGAGCCACCGAGACCGGCTGTGGTGGCACATGCCTGTAATTCCAGCGCTGGGGAGTTTGAAAACAGGAGAATCACTACGAGTCTGAGCTGGATAGCGAGACGCTGTACCAAATACATTTTTAGAAAGGGGGGGTCTGGGGGCAGAGAAACGATTATTGCAAATTGGTCATGTCTTGTGTCTCTGGAAGCTTGTGGTGTATTGTGGACTTTCCTTCTGTGGCTTAGGAATTCTCAGGTCTGTGTGAGCTCCTTATAAATTAAAAAGAGGGCCTGGTGAGATGGCTCAGTGGTCTAAAGCACCTACTTAGAACAAGCTTAGCAAAGCACAGGGACCACAGTTCAATCCCCCAGCACCACATGCCAGCCAGCCCCGCCCCCTGGTGGGCTGAGCTGGCCACACACATAAATAAATAAATAAATAGAAAAAGTTTTATAAATAAATAAATTAATTAATTAAAAAGAGCAGGAATGATGGGCATAATGGCACACACCTGTAATCCCAGGTCCTTGGGAGGCTGAGGCAGGAGGATCACAAATTCAAGCCCAGCCTGGATAACTTAGCAAGATCCTTCTCTCAAAATAAAATTTTTTAAGAGAAGAAAGAATGAGAGGAAAGTGGGAGCCCTCCCCCCACCACCCCCAGTCCCACTTCCAGTTCAGGATGGGAGTGGGCCTGGGTTTTGCCCCCGTAGAGTTCAGGCCTGGTGATAGTGTGTGTGGCTGACCTTGAGGCTGGCCCTGAACTTGAGACCTAGTTGTCGGTTCCAGGTCATCATCGGGAGCATCTTCGAAGTCATCTGGGCTGTCATAAAGCCTGGCACATCCTTTGGGATCAGTGTGTTACGAGCTCTCAGGTTACTGCGTATTTTCAAAGTCACAAAGTAAGTCTTCCATGTCCCTTGGCCTTCAGACAGGGGTGGGGATAGGGGACAGGGTGGGGAACCCCCAGAAAGCCAGGGCTTCGCAGCTTCCTCACCCTGCCCTGGCCTCTGTTGGCAGGTACTGGGCATCTCTCAGAAACCTGGTCGTCTCTCTCCTCAACTCCATGAAATCCATCATCAGCCTGCTGTTCCTTCTCTTCCTCTTCATTGTCGTCTTTGCCCTTCTGGGAATGCAACTCTTCGGCGGCCAGTGAGTACCCGGCAGCACTTCCAACCTCTGTTTCCCTGGGGTCTTGCCCAGGACTCCCCACTCTGGGCATCCAGGGCCCCTCCTCACGACCCACATGCCTGCTGCAGTCATCCAGGTGGGCCAGGCCCTGGGTACCACTCAAACTGTTGTCCTGGAGACAGAGATACTGCAGATGTTGCCCTGGCAACAGGATGCTCAGCAGACCCTCAGCCGGGGCAGGGCTCATATGAATATCTGTGTCGTCCCCACAGGTTTAATTTCGATGAAGGGACTCCTCCTACCAACTTTGATACCTTCCCTGCAGCAATAATGACAGTGTTTCAGGTACGACCTGCACGGCGGATGAGCCCACACCACTTAGTGTCAGGGATGACAACACCTGCTTTGCTCTGGAGCAGCTCCTTCCCCTGAAACCCTGTGTGTCACCTTGGACTCTTCTGTTTTAGAATGCAGATTTTATTGTCACTGAGTTATATGAGCCCAATAGATCAACAGACAAATGTCATTGGACACATAGATTGTAGCTGGGCATGGTAGCATATACCTGTAATCCTGGTATTCTGGGAGGCCAACGCAGGAGGATTGCAAGTTCCAACCCAGTATGGGCAGTTTGGTGATTTACTGAAAGCCTGGGGCTGGGGCCCAGCTGGGTGCAGTGTCACACACCGTGTGTCATAATCCCAGCACTCAGGGGCCTGAGGCAGGAGGATCACTGAAAATTCAAGGCCAGACTGGGATACATAGTGAGACCCTGTCTCAAACAGAAGCACAAAGGGAGAAGGCCGGGACTGGAGCCCAGTGAGAAGGCCCGCGGTTCAATCCAAGCACCACAAAAGTAGAAGGAAGGGAAGGAAAGAAGGAGGAAGGGAGAGAGGGAAAGAGAGAAGAGAAAGGGAAAGACAACTTGTAAGTCACAAGCCTCATGAGAAGGTTGCGAGACAGAATGGGGCGAGACATGCAAAGCTTTGGTTTTGGTCTCCGCAGCAAGAGCCCGTGGGGCTCCACTTGCTCTTATTCAGTGGGCTCCATCCCTGGCCATCTGGTACCTGGTCCCGAGTGACTAGGACAGGTGCAGAGTGGCCTGGCATAGGAGAGCCCAACCAAACAGGGAACCAGGTGTGAGCTCAGGCTGCTTGGGTTGCATTTTAAAAGTAGAGCAAGGGCACATCCTTGGAACCCCGGCACTCTGAGAGGCTGAAGCAGGAGAATCTGAAGTTCAAGCCTGACTTGGGCAATTAAGCTAGACTGTGTCCCCAAATAAAAAGGGCTGTGGGGGAAGAGCTGGGGATGTAGCTCAGTGCCAAGGCCCGAAGTTCAATCTTCATTACTACCTCCCAAGACCTCCGCAAAAGAAGGTGCTGTGTGTAGCCCTGGGCCAGCTGTGACCAGGCCCCAGTGGGAGGGTGGGAATACAGAGGGTAAAAGTCACAGCTGAGGACTGGCCCTACGGGGACTACAGAGCTTTGTGGTGATCCCTCCTGGGGACAGAGGCACCCGTGAGGCGAAGCTCCAAGCCCCTCGCAAGGGGCCATGGCCACACTGTAGCTTGGGGCCTCAGCAGGACACAGCGAGGGCCCGGCTGGAGGTGGGCGGGAGCCAGGGGTGCTGCTTAACATGCCCCCCCCCAAGTGCACGGACCGACCATGGCTCCAGAACACAAGCGCCCCCAAGGTGGCCAATGCCTGCTTCCGCTCCTGCACATCCCTACTTAATCCTGGCGGAAACGTGGCTCAGAACAAAAAACGCAGAACTTTCCTTTTAGTTTTCCATTTTTTATCAGGCCCTACCAGCAACACAGAGTGGGCAGCAGCTGCCCTGGGCCGCGGGTGCAGGCAGTTGATTCTAGCCCTTCCCTCTGCTCCCCTCCCCATTCTCATGGGCCCCTTGTCAATTACAAGCGCTCTAGCTCCGTTTCCTATTATCCATCCTTCCTTTCGCTCTTCAATGTATTTATATTTGGGGTGTCTCTTAGAAGACAAATTGTGGAGCTTTTTGCTTTTCCTTACTTGGCTCACGGGATGAGGCTCCAGGGTAGAACGACCACCCAGCATGCCTGAGGCCCTGGGCTCCATCCCGAGCACCAGTTCATAGTAATAATAGGAAGGCATGCGTACACGCGGCTGTGGTATGACCAAGCAGTACAGGTGCACGATGCTTAGGGATCAAATCAGAAAACTATCATTCCCGCATCTTTGTTATCTACTTGTGTTGGGAACCCTCCAGCCCTTATCTTCCATGTGCACATGTGCATGTGCACACTACTGTAGGTTGAACCCAGGTCCTTCTCAGTGAGCTCCAGCCCCAGCTCCTTTTTTTTATTTTTTATTTTAGGGATAGGGTCTCACTGAGTCCCTAATTTTCCCTGGCTGGGCTGGAACCTGCAATCCTCCTACCTTAGCCTCCCCAGTGCTGTGATTACAGGTGTGCGCCACCATACCTGGTCCACCCTAGCCTCTAGTAATCATGATTCTATTCCTGCTCCCATGAGCCCAGCTTTGCTAGCGTCTACACAGGCATGAGTGTCTGCCTGGCTTGTGTCCCATGAAGCCCTGTCCTCTGGGCCATTTTCTTCTAAGGAGCTGTGGGAGCCACTCAGGTGCCCCAGGCCTTTTCCTATGCTTTCTGGAAAGTCCCGGTGGCCCAGCCCCTCATCTCTTCATCCAAAGCTTTCTCCAGAGAGCAGTGCACAGCCCGGGCACAGGCCCAGGGGAGCAGGTGGAATTTGTGCACTGGGCCAGACTGCCTGAGCCTTGGTGGGACGGAGCTCCTGGTCACCCTCTGTGCCCTGTGTTCTTCATCGTCTCACTCTCCATCCCTGCTGTTTTTTCTGATAACCTACTCCGAACACCCTGCTGCACTGGGCTCTGACAGCAAAGTCAGCTCCAGCCCAGGGCAGCTTGTGTGCCAGGCATCCCATGGCCAGATCACTTGGGTTCAGGGACCAGGAGGAGTAGAGGTGAACGCTGGTGCCCGTTCCTTGCCCATTCTGAGCTCAGGACAATGCCAGGGCCAGGAGGCGAGGCGGTAGACACTTATCTCAGGCCCAAGGTCAACAGGGGGTGGTTCTTCATGACTTGTGGACTGGACAGTGGCCTTTCTGTGTTGTCCTCACATGGTGGACAGGGACCGTGGCCTCCCTTCCTCCCCATCTTTTGTTTTTGGTCCCAGAGATATGGGACCTGGGCACTGAGCTCTATCCCAACCCTCTCCCATTTTTTAAAATTTTTTTTTTATTTTGAGGCAGGGTCTCACTAAGTCACTAAGTCTCAAATTTGAGATCCTCCTGCCTCAGCCTCCCAGAGTTCTGGGATCACAGGCGTTGGGTCTCGTTTTCTCTTCCTCTTCTAAGGGCTGTCAGGAATCCCATCATAAGCACCCTCCCCTTGGGTCTTGTGCAACCCTAATCACATCCCCAAGGCACTGTTTCCAGCTCCCTCGCTGTGGAGAGTTACAGTGTCCCCACCCCCATTTGAAGGGGACAGTGCTCCCCCTCCCCCAACCGGGGTCTCCTTTTCCCAGCAGCCAGGCTGCAGCCCAGGGTGAGGACAGTCCTTCCTGCCTCGAGCAGGGCTGGGCTTGGGCAGAGGCAGTGACAAGGTGGCAGTGCCAGTGGGTGGCCCCAGCACAGTCCCTCTCCATCGAGGCAGCTCAGGCTGCTGCATCTCTCCTCAGATCCTGACAGGCGAGGACTGGAATGAGGTCATGTACGACGGGATCAAGTCCCAGGGCGGCGTGCAGGGCGGCATGGTGTTCTCCATCTACTTCATTGTGCTCACGCTCTTTGGGAACTGTATCCTTGCTGGGGGCCACAGGGATGCGGGCAGGCGGGGACACACGGGGCCCAGGCTCTGAGCACAGCGCCCTGCCTCAGCTGCTTTCCCTGACTCAGGCGTCAGACACCCTGCTGAATGTGTTCCTCGCCATCGCTGTGGACAATCTGGCCAATGCCCAGGAGCTCACCAAGGTGAGCTGAGCACCACGGGGCCCGGCTATCACCTGCATGGCAGAGCAGGATGGCAGGGTGGGGGACAGGGGACAGCAGGGCACACGCACGGGGTGCTCCTCACTCCTCCCAGACCCAGGCGAAGCCTCAGTGAGCCAGTTCTGCTGCAGAAGGTGGGAGGGGAAACAGGTGGTGAGCTCCACCCAAGGGCCTGTGTGTAGAAACTGGGCCGGAAGCCGGGTACAGGGGCACACACTTGCCTTCCTAGAACTCTGGGCAGTTGGTGGCAGGAGGATCACAAGTCCAAACCCAACCTGGGCAAGTTAGAGACTTAGGAGATTCTGTCAAAATAAAAAAGGGCTGGAGATGTAGCTCTGCAGAGCCAGGATTCAGTCCTCCATGAGAGAGGCAGAGAGAGAGACAGAGACAGACAGACAGACAGACAGACATAGACATTGGGGGAGGGGAAGAAGCAGTGCAGGGAAGGGAACGAGTCAGAGACTACAAGGAATGATGCTGTCCCCAGGCTTGCAGACACTGTCGCCCTCCAAAAGGGGAGCAGAGGTACAGGGACCTAGACAGAGCTGCAGCTGCGTGAAAAGGGGCTGACACTGACCCTCTGATCTTAGAGGACCCAGAGTCCTGGCAAGGCAATGTGGACATGGCAGAACACACCCTGTGTCTCCTGGTCACCTGCAGAAGCCAGGCAGGGGCACAGGGCACACAGGCCAGCCTCCGAGGGGCAGAGAGCATGGCCAGGATGCTGAGGCCCTGCCTCTGCCTCTACCTGCATGGGGACCGACTATGTAAGATGTCCCCTGACCTCATTTCCAAGTGACAGCAAAACAGAGAGGACCCTTGTGGTATACTGTAGGGCCTTTCCTCCCCCCCCCCCCCCGCCCTTTTTGGTTGTTATTCTGGGGTTTTGAGGCACAGGGCTCTCGCTGTGTAGCCCAGGTTGGCCTTGAACTCACTGTGTAGCTCAGTTGGCCTCGAACTCTTGGTGATCCTCCTGCCTCAGCCTCCTGATGCTGAGATTACAGGTGTGCACCACCCGGCCAGGCTAACAGAAGGTCCAAAAAGGTGAAGTCACCCCCTGCAGATGCGCTGTTTCGACTCATAGCTGGTGCCTAGTACCAGCAGCTCTGTGAGTGACGCAGTCGGGTGTTGGGCCAGAGTCCCTTGCTCCATGGGTGGAGAGGGCAGCCAGGATGTGAGGGCCAGCCGGGCAGGTAACCATAAAAACCAGAACTGCCAACTGCGGAGAAGCTCGCCAAGCGCCATGGGAGGCGGGAGCCACAGTCTCCCCGTATCACCGATGGGAGACAGCCCAGAGAGGGGAGGTGGCAGTCCACATGACTCAGGACTGGAAGAACAGAGATGCAGCTCCTGACAGGGCAGAAAAGAGAAGAGGATGGGGAATTTGGGACAAGGAACCATCTATGTGCAGGAAGGTCCTATTTTTATTCATGATTCATGCTGTTGAGTTATCTGGGTAAAAACTGGTACTGTGTCCCTTAGCACAGCCTTGGACTTCCTGAGAGTAGACAGGCACAGGGGAGGCAATGTTGCTTTCAGTAACATAGTTCATGCCCTTGGGACAGTCCGTGAGCAGGGCTACCAAGAACAGTTGTACAGGTTGCACACTGCACAAAAGAACATAGGCAAGAAGGGGCCGTGCAGGCTGGAATCCAGTGTGGGTGAATCAGACCAGGAGAAGGAACAACAGAAGGGGCACATTCTGCTATGCGGGTGGAGTGTCAGGAACAAAGGCATCTTAGAAGCTGGCCTCAGTTGGCTAAGTAGAATAAACAGCGCATGTCATGCAAGCCAGGCCCTCCTCCTCCCAGCACTCTGCTTCAAAACCCTACCCCCAGTGCCCCACAGTGTCCAGGACATCACAAAGCAGCCCGAGCCGACAGTATCAACCCTCCATCTGCTGGCCCTGGCAGGAGTGGGGAGTTTCCCAGCATCCTTTGGGCTGGGGAGAAATAGAAGTCCTTGCCGTCCCCAGCACACGGCTACCAGCCTGGCCACTGTGTGGCACCATAGGTCCCCTCGGGCCCCTCTTCAGGAACCCTGGGGTGCATTCCCATAGCCCCTCCCCACTCAGCCCATCTTTCATCCCACAAGCTCAGATTAAGCACCTCCTGGGCACAAGGCTGACAGACAACCAAACACTCTGCCCTTGGAGACGGGTTCAGACTGTGGGTGAAAAACCTAGGCAACTGGGGGTGATTTGGAGCTTGGAAGAAAGCAATGACTGTGAAGGAGAAAAGCAAAGTGGGGAAGTGGGGGGCGGGGGGACACCAGAATCTTAGATGAGAGCTGTAAGGCACAGAGAGATCAAGAGAATTCTTAAGGCTGCACGGCGGTAAGTGGTAGAGCTGAGATTTGAACCCTGGCTGACTGCAGGTGGAATTTGTGCATTAACCGCTGTGCTGTTAACTGTACGAGAGTATTTGACTTGCCTGGGAACTTGATGAAAATGCAGAGGCTAAGCAAAACCCCTGGTTCTGCGGCTGCTTCCTGGGGCATGGGAACCCACATCTCCATCATTGAGGGTTCAAGGTGTTAGGCAAGCTGGACATGGTGCCCAGGGCGGTTCTGATGTGCCTCCCCAGCGAGCTGCCGTGGCTTGAAACTGCCTGGCTTCTCTCACTTGTGCTTTGTGTCTCTTGACTTCCCTGTTTAAAGAATGAGGCCATGCCAGACGGTTGGTGGAGGATGTAAAGTCTAAAACTGTCTTTGTGGGAATGTGGTATTTCACCACTGCCCCTGAACCCAGGCCCAGGAACCCAGCTCCCCTCCCCTAACGGGGACTGAGAGTTCGGGGTCCTCGGCTGCAGCAGGGCCCAGCATAAGTCAAGGACTCAGGGCTTTTCTATGCATGGTAACATCTGGCATTTGGGGGAGGACAGGTCAAGGAGTTCGGCCTGCTTGGAAAGCACTGGAAGCCTCTGCATTCCCTGGCAGGCCCCAGACGGGTGCAGGGACGCCCTCTCTGTGGGAGTCTCTTCACTTTAGCTGTCTTCTGGCTGTGCGTTAAAATGGAGTCATGAAAAAGCTGGAAAAGTCAGGCATGGTGGCACATGCCCAGAATCCCAGCACTGGGAGGCTGAGGCAGGAAGATCACAAGTTTGACCACAGCTTGGAAAATGTGGTTACTTAAGACTCTCAAAATCTTAAAAAGTTGGAGACAAGGTCTTGCTGTGTATCCCAGGCTTGTCTCAAACTCATGCTGATCCGGCCTCACCCTCCCAAGTGCTAGGAGAACAGGTGTGCACCATCACACCTGACTTCAAATCAAAAAAAAAAAAATTTAAAGGTGTAGGTATGGGGAGCTGAGGATATAACTCAGTGGCATAAGCACCTGCCTGGCAAGCCCAAGGTCCTGAGTTCAATACGATACAAAATAAAGGGGCTGGGGAGATAGCTCAGTGGAATAAGCCCTTGCCTGGCAAGCGCAAGATCCTGAGTTCAATTCCTGACCGCCCCCCGCCAACCAAGAAAAAGAAAGGTCCAGGGATATAGCTCAGCTCAAAGCCCTGGGTTCAAGGCTCCAGTACCAGAAAAAAATAAAAATAAGAAGAGCTGGAGAGTGAACCAGGAGGATCAGCAGTGCACATCTTTGACCTCGGCTGCACCGTGTGAGTGTGGGTTCTGATGCAGCCTCGCCTGCTTTTAAATACCTCAGTGTCGCCGGGGTCAGCAGGAGGGTACAAAGCAAGACCTTGAGGCCTGGTCTGGTGAACAGAGATCTTACATGCCTTCTAGGATGAACAAGAAGAGGAGGAGGCGGCCAACCAAAAACTTGCTCTACAGAAAGCCAAGGAGGTGGCGGAAGTGAGTCCCCTGTCTGCGGCCAACATGTCCATAGCTGTGTAAGTGTCCCAGCCTCCCCCGTACCCACTCCCACTCCCAGGCAGGGTTTGGGAAGGGGGAGGATGGGCCCTGATGGCTGAGCCTTAGGAATAGGTCCACTTTCACCCAAAGGCTGTTTCACGAGCACCTACTTACTACATGCCCAGTTCTGTGCTTGGCGTGGTTTGCTTTGTATAGCTGCTAGAGTCAGAGAGAGGATACGTTACATACATTTGAGTCCCACCTGGGTAACAGAGTGAGATCCTGCCTGTCTCCAAAGACAAAAGATCTGGGATGCAGCTCAGTGGTAGAGTGCCTATAGGTTCATCCTCTAGTACTGCAAGCAGGCAGGCAGAGACAGACAGACAGACAGCAAGACAGAGACAGACAGTGATGTGATGGGAGCAGGCCAGTATGACTGTGAAAGTGAGAGACTGTCTCAAAACTTTAAAAAATATTTGAGACCCCATCTCAAAAACCAAGGTGAGCAGATGGAGGGAGGTGCAGGCAAAAGTGGTGACAAGCAGGTTATGCAGAGCCTTGTGAGCTATGGAGACTTGGGCTTCTGCTCTGGGTTAGGTGGGAGCCACAGAGTTCTTGGGCAGAGGGGAGTTAGGGCCTCAAAGCACCCTCTGTCCACTACTGGGAAGCAAGCTGTGGGAGTTAAGGGGGTGCTGGACACAGGAGGGTGTCAAGTCTGAGCCTATCCTGGGCAAATCATCAACAACCAGACCCTGTCTCAAAACAGAAAATTAAGAAGAGCAGGATGTGTGGCTCAATGCAAAAACCCTGGGTTTGATCCCAGTACCAAAAAAGAGGAATTTCTCTCTTTCTTTAAAATAAAAAGAGATCAATGCCTAAGACCTATGGAATCTCCCTGGGCCTAGACTGGGGTCAGTCACCCTGCAGCCGGCCAGTCTGCCTGTCTGATGCCCCAAATCCCCACCCGGGATGCTCTGGGCACTCCCTGGGGCCCTAGGCAGTCCATGATCCCAATTAGAGGCTCCTGCAGGCGTCAGGCGCTTCCTCGACCTGCTGGAGGCCACTGCCTGCCATCATGGGCCATGCCCAGGCTAAGGTCATCAAGGCCACCCCAATCGTGGACTGCCCTCTGAAGAGCAGGGAGGTCAGCTGGGTTACCTGCCCGGACTAAAGTGTCCGAGGGCACTGACACCGCTGTAACCGAGAAGCCTGGCCACCCCCACTGAGGCACCCACAGGGTCCCTGGGGGGGGACTTCCGGCCAGGCTGAGTCTCGTTCAGACCCTCGTTGGGCTGAGACAGTGGCCAGATGAGGTCCTGGGGGCCAGACCACCTGGCCGCGCCGTCCCCGCACACCCACCCGGCCGCACGGCCCCAACCCCGGCCTTTTGCAGGAAGGAGCAGCATAAGAACCAGAAGCCGGCCAAGTCGGTATGGGAGCAGCGCACGAGCGAGATGCGCAAGCAGAACCTGCTGGCGAGCCGCGAGGCGCTGTACGGCTGCGAGCTGGACGCCGACGAGCGCTGGAAGGCCGCGTACGCACGCCACCTGCGGCCGGACATGAAGACGCACCTGGACCGGCCGCTGGTGGTGGACCCGCAGGAGAACCGCAACAACAACACCAACAAGAGCCGCGCGCCCGCCGAGCCCGCCGTGGAGCCGCGCCCGGG